GAGGGATACAGAGACAAATGGTGTTGTCTCCGGGCTCTAGAACATCTTGACTCCCAGCCAACAACTTCAGAGGGAAACGGGAAGCTTCATCTTCTTGAGCCGTCAGTGGTCCGTCTGCTGGGTTGTGGTGATGGGCTGAGACGCAGGACATTCTGGGAGCAGGAATCAGCACGGCACCGAGCTCTGGAAGACCACTGTAAACACTTCTGGGCTCTGCAGATTTAGCTATTCCTCAGATTTTCCAGTTAAGCAGATCACGCTGGGAAATGCTTCCAAACCGGGTGCAGAGTCACTCGGCTCCCTGAGACTTGTTCTCGCCGTCGCTGCTTCTGCAGGAAGGACACTGGGGCCTGAGACTCAACCCGAGTCTTCCCTTTCCTGGCAGTGCAGAAAAAAATTTGGAAAAGAAAACAAAAAAACAAAGCTTACTGTCCACACAGCAGCCCACAGCGATTATGGCAATTGCTCAATTACATGGTTCTTCATAAAATGCAGATTATAGGGTTCTTTAGCTGGAGGCTCTGTGCCTTGACCAGATAAAACTAAATGAGAAAACGGAACATGCAAACATGGGGCATCTTGTGAGTGGATAGTCAGCAAGAAACAAGAAGGAAATGAAACAAAACAAAGGTGGAAGTTTGATTTTTCTGTTTGGTTCTGCTTCTTGAGGAGATGGATAGTCTGAGACCCAGGTGTGCTTATGGAAAGAACAAGCTTTGTTTGCAAATACCTGATAGTAACGACACGTGTGCAGGCTGTTGGCCATTTCCCCGTGTGCCCAGCTCTGGTGGTTTGTCCGCTAGGTCTGCACGTTGGAACTTGGAGTTCAGTGTCGTGGAGAGATGATGGTATGTAGGTCTCGGTCCAGCCCAGAGGAATGACCCAACTCTAGCAAAGACACCGCCGTCTGCCCAATGGCTCAAGCCAGAAACCTAGAAGCTGTTTTGGGGACCTTTTGCTCCCACGGCTGTGACGTCCCCTCAAACACAAGTGTTACTGGGGTGTCCCAGTGCGTGTCTCTGACCCAGTGCCATCTTTCCCTCCCTTTTGCCTTCACCATGGGCCAGACCATCCTGTCCCTGGCCTGGACCAGGACATTAGTCCCCAAACTACAGTCTCTTGTCTCTGATGCTCTTTCCATATGACAACTAGGGTCATGCTTTAAATAAACGAAATGGAATGACTCTTCCTTGCTTGGAGCCCCTCAGGGGCTTCCCACTGCCCTGGGGGTGACATCTGAAGTCTTTGCCACCCTCCCAGCATCACGGGCTGCTGCCTTTTACCCTCCCCTGACACCTCTCTTCCCCCTTCACTGTCTCCCACTCCAGCCACCTGGACCCCCTTTTCGTTTCTCGAAAGTGCGGTTCAGTCTTGGGAAAAGGTGAGGAAAAAGCAGGTACAGCGACCAGCTAGCTGCAGGCATTGTGTCCCAGCCACTTTCCGGCATCCTCGTGTCGTGAAGGAGGCTCGCCACGGCCTCCTGGCTCGCACGGGAGGGACCGCGGGGCGTGGGCAGGAGGTCAGCAGCCAGGCGAAGCGCGGAGTCCAGTGCAGAGGCAGAGGGACAGCGCTGACTGTCACCCCGCCGTGGGGCAGGCGCCTAATGCTGGAGGAAATGCCCACAGTCCCCGCGCTATTTCCCCGGTGAAGGCGGGCTGGTCTCGCCATTGAGGGAGCCCGGCCAAAAGCTCTGGCAGTGTTGTGGACCTTGACGGTGAAGGGGAGGAGCGGGGAAAGGCTGGGAGCGCGGGGAGTTGTGTACTGAGTCAGGTGCTCCCGTTCCTGCCTCTGCGCAGGCAGCAGCAGGGACTCGGGAGAAACTCCATCTACCAAGGCCCCAGACAGACACACCTAGGAATCAGGTACCTGAGCTAGGAGCACAGGATGTGAAGATCAAGGCTTGAGTCCCGGACCTCAGCTCCCTTCCGAGTCTGCAGTGTGGCTGCCACCAGGCCTGGTGTGGGGAGGGCAGCTTCCCCCATGAGACCCGCCCGGGACCGCCTTGGACTTGCACAGAGTCAAGCCTGAAAAATCACACATAAGCTTTTCGCCAGCAGCTGGACTCTCGATGTCCCCTGAGCACCTTCCCCAGGGTCCCACGGTCACAAATGAACCAGCTCTGAGCCCCTAACGGCCCCAGGAGCCCTCAGCTCGCTGCCTCCAGGCCCCCACCGGTGCCCTACAACACCTGCCCAGCCCAGCATCTCCCGAACAGGTTTCTGGCTGCTGAACCCGCCACCCGCCTCAGCCCCCAGTAGGTTGATGTTCTCACTTTGACAAATTAGCTCTAGAAGGCCGCAGCCAAAATGGAAAGACATCATCTACGAGCAGTGACAAATGAATCCATCAGTACTGGTCGCACACGCATGGGTGATTTTATCACGAGAGCTAAGAAAGGAGCACGGGACGAAGCCACGGGGGGAGGGGTGGGTCGCAGTGGTTCTGAACAGGGTGGACAGAACTACCACTCGCTGGGGCTGCTGTGCACCGGGCAAGCCTGGGAAAGCCAGTGAAATGCCTGCGGAGACGGTGCACGTCTGTGGCGGCATTGCTATCACCCTTTGAAATGTCAGTTTCCTCATCTGTAGTAACAGTGGATTATTAGAGTGGAACTATAGTGTGGACTACAGGAGGTAAATCCACAAAAGCTGTTAACACAGGGCCTGGGACAAAGTACTCACTCAGGTGTGCTGGCTGGTGCAATTGTTATTGCTTCTCATCTATGGGTGCTGCCCGGCTCACGTCCTGGGGTAGGAGCAAAGCTTTGTCTATGCAGAGGTTGCTCTGTGTATTAATGGATTCCTGCAAAGGTGTATGTCGATCGGACATCCTGTGAGTTATATCTAAAGTGCCTCCTCAATGCCTGGGCATGTGGTCTAATTGGGGGAGAGCTCCCCCTTGCCCCGTAACTGTCAGGGGCTTTATCTCTGCTTGGGTCTGGGTGGGAGGCTACACCTTGTTTGCAAGAAAGCGCACCCAGGGGGCACGGATGGGTACCCTCACTGGCACCCCTACAGAGCTGGCCCTTCTGTATGAACGCCTGCCCCCCAGAGTAGAAGCAGGTGGGAAGGAGCGGCTCATGGCTACAATAAAAGGAGAGAAAGGCAGAAGCTTATGCACAGACTTCCAGGTGATGCCCAAGATACACAGGGTGGTTTCTTCAGCCAGATGTCTCGTCCGCCCGTGAGCAGGTAGAGCAGTGAGGTCGCAGGCAGCCACTACCACCGGTCCCTCTCGGAAGGTAGATGGACATTGCTGTGGACTCTAGACTCCAGGAAAAACATTTTAAGACCAGAGACCAGTGAGGTAGACTCCCTTGGCCCGAAATGGGAACGAGGGATGTGGTTAAGTCAGAGAAGCCAGCTTTATCTGGAAAGCCCCAGAGGGCTTTGCGGGCCCTCGAGTCTCTGCTGCTACTGCTCATCTCTGCTGATGTAGCACAAAAGCAGCCGAGAAAACAGGAAACAAATGGGCGTGCCTGTGTTCCAATAAAACTTTATTGACACAAATGGGAGGACCAGATTTGGCCTAAGGGCCACAGTATCTGGATTCCTGGCTTAAGAGAAAGGGGAAACAGTAACGTAAAATTCTGCCTGGGTAATTGTGAATGATGTTAGCAAGATGGAAGGCAAGTAGGCAGTTGAATTCCTCCACGTAGCTGCAAGGGAGCCGTTGACCCCAGACTGAAGGGGGGCCGATGCCAGAAAGGGGGGGCTGTGTTTGTCTGCTGCAGATCACGTTGCTCAGAAGTCGACGCAATGGTGTTAGAAAACGTCAGGCGCCCCATGAGGTTGTGGAAAGGCTCAGTACTAAAACTGAAGGGATATGTTCTGTGTCTGTTTCGGGGGTTAGGAATCTTCAGAGGTTCAAACGAGGACAGACTACCTGCCTGAGGACGGTGCTGTAATGCAACCGATGCCGTGGCTCTGGCAGCCGTGGTCACGTGGGAGGGGACCCGCAAGTGTACCCGGCGACCCTCTGGGACATGTTGGGCAGTGGTGTCAAGAAACAGCCCAACCCAAACTATGAAAAAGAAAAAATAAACAAACAAACAACAACAACAAAAAAGTATCAAGGCCCCAAATCAATAGGAGCAAGAGACTGAAAGCAACCCAGGCGCCCACACCAGTTGTTTCTAAGTGGTGTGACCTGGGGAATAGTTTTCTTGCTTGTACTTTTGAATAGATTTTAGTATAAGCATATATTACTTTTAAAAATCAAAGGAAATGAAAGGTATTGAGGTAGAGGCGGCTTCTTAGAGGACCAATCTTAGAATTGATGCTTAGAAATGATAAGAAGACAGGTTTTCACTCGCTGTGGTCTGAGCTGCAAACCAGTGAAAGTCCCACCGTGGCAGATATTAATTACTTTCCCGTCAGCCATTGCCTTACTTCTCTTTCCTGTTGGTAGAACTTACCCCCAAGAGTCACCTCCCCAGCTTCCCTTGGAGTTATGGCGTGGGCAAGCCACACCATCCTGGCCAAGGAGAATTTCTGGGAAATCTTCTGAGTGGTTCTTGGGAGAGGTTCTCCACCATCTGTGTGTGTGTGTGTGTGTGTAGCATGAGGAGAAACTTCAGCCTTCTAGTGTTTGACGTGCACATCAAAATGTGAGAATATGGTGTTTGGTGCAGTGGCAACCATTTTGTAACCATGGGGAGCTAATCTTGAGGTTATCACCTACCGCTCTGGGATGGTAGACTAGAAAAATGGAAAAAGTGGGGTCCTTGATTTATCGAACTATAACCATCTCCTCCCCCTATCTTTAGACTTTTGAGAAAAGTATACTTATTGAAGATTCCATTCTAGTTGGGTATCACAGCTCCTAATTGCTTCATGTCCTCAAAATGTCCACACAGACGCACGCTGGTGGGATTCCTCAACCTACCTAAATGTTAAGTCAGGCTTGAGAACGTCTTGGCATTCTCGAATCCCTGGGATTTAACTGTTTTAATGCAAAGCCTTGCAGCCAAGGGCCAGAATGCAGTTTTGTAGTTTTTATTATTTCCTGTTATTAGACTGTGTTGCTTTAACTATTGGGGGGAATAAAGGTGTCCTAACATGGCTGGCTTGTTTCTCTCTCTCATGGTTGTTGTCATCCTTTCCCAAGCCCAGCTCTGAGGAAGACAAAGGTAAGTCTTGGAGACTCCCTTCATCAGTGCACGGAGTGCCCAATCTGCGCGTGCGCGGACTCCTGGGCAGGTGTTGGGGAAACACCAGCCTTCGCATCTCCTAGGAAGCAGAGAAGAACAGCAATGAAATAACGCCTGGGGGTCACGAGCACCTGTCCCAGCACAGTCACTTGCCTAATCTCGGGCAAGTTACTTAACATGTCTCAATTTTTGCTTCCTCGTTGATAAAATGAGGTGGAGAGGGCAGAGGTCACAAGGATCAGGATTTGGGAAGTCATGAGCACTATGCCTGGAACGTAGTAAGAACTCGGTTGGTGGGTACGCTTGCTCCCAGTACATGACAGACCTGCTTTTCCTGAGTGGCACCGTGGGTTGAGAGGGTGTCCCTACCTGTAGACTTTGTTTTTCAGCAAGACCTTGGGGGGTTGGACCTAAAAGAAGGCAGCTCACATTTGGATAGCCCTCATCTCCTCCTGGGTCTACCAGAGTATGGAGCTGCTCTTATGAGCGTTTCATATTTGATTCTGAAGCATCATTTCGGCGCGTGGCTCGATTTCCCTGGCAGCCCGGAAGCTCCTTGGGGCAGGATCGGGATTTCCATTCCTGGCCTCCGGAGGGCTCAGCTCCGGGCTTCGCACACGCCTAAGGAATGTTGGTCAGTGAGCAGAGAGATGGGCAGCAGCTGCCCGGGGCAGGAGGAATCGGGGCTAATTTCTAGGACATTCGGAGAGCCGTCATTCTAAACTTGGCTGTGAGTTAAAATCATGTGTGGATGGAGCGACCAACCATCTACTTTGCAAAAATCCCAAGGACTCGAGACTTTCTGTTGTAAAACCAGAACTGAGGGGTTTCCTGGGACTCAGGGCTTCTGGTGCTTTGGCTGAGCGAAAACTCCTGACCGGGAGCTGTGCATGGGTTACAGGAGGCCCGGACACCTGGCCCCGTTCAGACTCGGGCGCAGATGACGCGGACAAGGGTGGGAAGCGCTGAGCGAGCCGTGATGCATGAAGGTGCTGGAGAGAGAGGAGGTGGACAAAGAAAATCCCGAGGTCCCACCCAAGACCCTCCGACTGGGACCCTCCATTGGAATCAGGCTTCCCCGGCGATTCATGTGCACGCCCAGATTTCAGAATCGAAGGATGTACAGTTAGAGCACATCCACAGACCCAATAGTAATGGTTTCAAGGAAATGCATTTGGGACAGTCCCACTTGAATCGACCTGGGTCCATCGCAAAATCCTCTCCTTTCCCCGGGCCTCTCCTCCCCGTGGCGTGGGTACTTCTCAACACCACAGCCGTGACCGTCTGCACTCAGACCCCCCCTCAGGTCACCGATCTCCAGGGAGGCCAGAGCTAGCCTCTTGTGGCCAGGAGATCATTCCCAGTTCTCCTCTCTCTCCCACCCCAGGGCTTACAGGAAACAAGTGGAACGAGGCTCTTTCTCTGTGGACTAGCGAGCGAGAAACACGGGCCCCGGGACTGTAAGTCACTGAGCTTTGGGGTGGTTGGCGGCGCAGCCTTGGTGCGGCCAGAACTGACTCCTCCATCCCGTCAAAGCGGGAAGGGTCGGCGTTTGTCTCTGGTCTCTGAAGGACTTGGAAACACTGCTCGGAGAACAGCTTCTCACCGTGGTGGCCAGAGCCCGGAAAGGGGTGAAGACCTGCCCCAGCGGATAGCATTTGTGCATGTTGATGTCTCCATAGCGACTGCGACGCTCCTTCCAGCTGGCCAGTCTCTTCTCTGCCTTCATGTCCAGGAAGCGCCGGAAGGGGCCCTGCGGGCAGACGGGCCACGTGCAGCTGGGTGAGGAGCCCCGAAGCACCTGTCCCACCAGCTCACACCACACAGGTGTACTGCTCAAAAGAGGCATCGCGTCTTCACGCCTCTCGTTCATCAGGGGGACCGTCATGGGCCTTTCTTAGTTTTCTGTGGCCGTGGGAGGTGGAGAGAGGGGCCCTCACCTCCATGAGTTGCTGGGCCTGTGCAGTAGATGGAGGGTCAGGGCACTGAGTTCTAGCTGGGACTGTGCCCCCACTATAGCACGTTGAGTCACCCTCCATGGTGGATCGGTGATTAAGGTCCTTTCTGACCTTGGAATGGCATCAAGTGAAGGCCATCCTTCCTGAAGGCAGGGGGCCAGCTCCCATGTGTCCTCGTGTGTCGGAGGGTCCTGTCTTGTGATTCTAATCTCACTGCTACTAGAAATTGAGGAGCATAGGAGCCCCGTCTGCATTCCACCCGAGACACGTGGTGCCCAGTGGACTTCCCACCCAGGGCTTCCTTCCACAGACCCTCCCTGCTCTGTATTGAAGGCACCGCCTGCTGGGTGCCCACGGCCCCTTGGATGCTCCTCTTCATGGTTTCCCAGGTCTCTGGCCACCACCTGCTCTCTCTCTGGCCTCGCCTCTCTGTATGACCACAGACTCCTGTGGTCTGTCTGTCCATCAGTTTCTCCGTACGAGCTGGTACCTCTTCCTGCTCTGCCCGTGGGTGGCCAGAGGCAGAGCGAGTCCAGCAGACTCTTGACCACAGGGCCCACCCCAGACGTGCTTGGCTTTCCCTTGGGTACAGAGGAGGCTCAGCAAATGCCACCTCTCTCTACATATTGATCCTTTGACCCCCATGGAGGCAGGGAGGTGGTTGGCAAGATGGTGGTGGAGGAGGGGTTCGGGCCGCTGGTGGCCCAGTGTGGCTGCCTTCTGGGCGGGACACCTGGGAAGTGGGCGTGCGCCGAGGAGTGGGCGGCTGGAAACGCAACAGGAACCTCATCCCAATTAGGGGGTTAGGCCACTTCCTGCCTCCTACACAGCAGGAAACAAATGTGTGTTGTTTTATTTCTTCCAGCATTGACAGAAGGATGCCAGGTGGGGACAGAGGAGCTGACCCAAGTCAGAGGCCACGAGGGATTTTACGGGGCCCACATTCTTCGTGGGAAAACTGAGACCCCGCAAGGTGAGAGGACTCTCCCGAGGTCTGTCACCTTCTCTTGCATCAAGTTTAAATGCACACGTGTCTCTGCAGGGTGGGGACTCTGTGTCAAGGAAGACAGCTCCCCGTGTCCACCTTGAAGACAGACAGTCGGATGCCAGTGGACCCTCAAGGGGCCAAACCAGCCGGTCACTCTGGGTTGGGCTGGAGCTGCCGTGACAGGGGAGAGAGTCCTCTGTTCTGGACTCTTCTTTCTCTCTGCTCTTCCCCTGGCTCGTCCTGTTGCCTCTTTTCAGGAAGGTCGTCTTCCCCATCATCACCACCACCCTCACATTTTCAATAGAGGAGCCAAAGGTACATGTGCCCCCTTGCCTGCCTGGGGCATCTCTCTCCTGCCTTCCCTACTCCTCTTCCTGGACGCGGGCTTCGGCTTCCGGGGAAGTGTCTGGCCCCCAGCAGAGTGAGCTGCCCCTCCTCGGGCTTCCGAACCATTTTCCCAGGGGTCTGTGCCCCCCACCCCGCCTTCCCGCCAGTGTCTCTCTACCCAGTTAGGTCCCAACTGCACCCGAGGGCCCTCGAAAACAGGGCCTGTGTTTGACCATCTCCGATGGGTGACCTGTCGTGCTCAGTGCCCGAAGTCTGTCACATGAGCAAGCAAGTGCTCTGAAGGCCATTTCTGGATTTTAAGACAGTAGGGAGGAAGGACTTGATTACCACCAAACTTTCCAGAAGTGTCTCACACGAAACAAAATAAACCCGTTCACTAGAGGGTGAGGCAGGGGGTGAAGACTCCTCGCACACAGTGGGGATGTAATTCAGGGGAACAGAGGTACCTGGGGTGGAAAAGACCACTGGGAACATAGGAAAATTCTCTCATTTTGAGAATTTCTTTTTCTTTTGGTAGAGGGAGGGGGGGCCTGATGAGATTCACAAGGCATCGTGAGCTGTGTTCGGGGTTCCGTTTCTCCCTGCATGGTCTCGTGCAGGAGGAGATGGGGGCGGGTGGGGCCAGGGTACAGAGAAACCATCGGCTCCTTCTCCTTGGTCTGTCAGTCACAGCACCTCATTAGCTGAGCTGACCCTGTGTGGGGCACAGTCTCACTTCCCGGTCTGCAAAGAATCGGGGGGGGGGACCCTGGGGAGACTTACGTCGTGTATTCGGAAGTTCTTCGCTGTGGGAGGGAACAGGTCCCAGCTTCGTCCCCCAGCTTTGGTGCTGGGACTCGAGATCAATCGTGGATAAACAGGTCCCAGGGGGACTGGCGGCTCCCGATCTGTCCGAGATGAGGAGAGAAAGGCCGCGTTGTGGGATCCCACACGTGGGGCTCACTTCCCCCCCCCCCCCCAGCCAGACCAGCGCTGCCGCCTCTGGGTTTGACCCTGCAGCACAACAAGCAAGAGGCGTGTGCAGAAGGCAGCAGACCCTCCGCCCGGGGCCGAGAACGGAGGCTCTTGTTGGGACAGGAACTGGACCCACAGGGTATCCCGCAGGTGATGAGCACGGTGGGCCATTTCCCTCGCCAGGGGCAGCTCGGGTGAGTTGGTTTGCTAAGGGCCACATGGTTGAGTCGACTCTTACTCTGGGGGGTTAACGGAGTAAAGAAGATCGTTAGGGGCTCCACATGGTGATTGAATTAGGTTAACTAAAGGATGAATTATGCGAGCCTCTCATTCTTCTGCGTTTGTGCTGAATTATCCTTCTTTCGTACAGAGGTCCGCAAACTCTCTCTGTAGTAAATATTTTAGGCTTCATGGACCCCAAGGGCTCAGGGGCAGCTACACAGCACGGCTGTTGTAGCACAAAAGGAGCCGTAGACAACATGGAACCCAGTAGGTGTGGCTCAGTTCCAACGGGTACTATAAAATTTCCTATAATTTTTTGTATCACAAAACATTATTCTTTTGATTTCCCTTTCAACCATTAAACAGTGGAAAATCCATTCCTTGTTTGCAAGACTTCCAAGAACAGGTCTCAGGCCCAGTTTGGCCCGGGGGCTGGAGCGTGCTGACCCCTGCGTTAGTGACGTCCCAACACAGCTCCCGCAGCAACGAGTCACAGGCTGGCCCCCGAGATCGACGCGCGCTCGGAAGCTCCCAGCCGCCGAGATGACCAGTGAGCGGGACGTCGGGCCCACGATCAGGCCCTGAACAAACCAAGCCTGGCCAGTGCCTAACTCACGACCAAGCCCAGGGCGTACGGGGCCTCCAGGGCATCCTCAAGGGCGTCCAGCTCCTATTCTAGATGCGCTGTGTGAACGCACTTCACACCAAATCAGGGCTACAGGCTCCCTTCGATTAAACAAGAGGGGGAGGGAGGAAAGCAGGGAGGGAGGGAGGAAGGGAGGAAGGAAGGAAGGAAGGAAGGAAGAAGGGAGGGAGAGAGGAAGGAGGGAAGGGAGGAAGGGAGGAATGGAGGGCGGAGGGAGGAGGGAGGAAGGGAGAGGGAGGAGGAAGGAAGGAAGGAGGAAGGAGGGAGGAGGACGGACGAGGAAGGGGAAGGAAGGAAGGGAGGAAGGAAGGGAGGAGGAAGGACGGGAGGGAGGGAGGGAGGAGGAAGGGAGGGAGGGAGGACGGGAGGGAAGGGAGGAGGGAGGAAGCGGCAAGGGAGGGAGGAAGGGAGGGAGGGAGGGAGGGAGGAGGAGGGAAGGAAGGGAGGGAGGGAGGGAGGAGGGAGGAAGGAAGGGAGGAAGGAAGGAAGGGAGGAAGGAAGGGAGGGAGGGAGGGAGGAGGGAGGGAGGGAGGGAGGAGGGAGGGAGGGAGGGAAGGAGGAAGGAAGGAAGGGAGGAAGGAGGGAGGGGGGGAGGGAGGGAGGGAAGGGAGGGAGGGAGGAAGGAGGAAGGGAGGGAGGGAGGGAGGGAGGGAGGGAGGGAGGAAGGAAGGAAGGAAGGGAGGGAGGGAGGAAGGAAGGGAGGAAGGGAGGGAGGGAGGAAGGGAGGAAGAAGGGGAGGGCGGGATGGAGGGAGGAAGGAAGGAAGGAAGGGAGGGAGGGAGGGAGGAAGGGAGGGAGGAAGGGAGGGAGGGAGGAAGGGAGGGAGGAGGGAGGGAGGAAGGAAGGGAGGGAGGGAGGGAGGGAGGAAGGGAGGGGAGGAAGGAGGGAGGGAGGAAGGGAGGGAGGGAGGGAGGGAGGGAGGAGGAGAGGAAGGAGAGGAAGGGAGGGAGGGAGGGGAGGGAGGGAGGGAGGAAGGAAGGGAGGAAGGGAGGAAGGGAGGAAGGAAGGAAGGAAGGGAGGAAGGGAGGGAGGAAGGGAGGGAGGGAGGGAGGGAGGGAGGGAGGGAGGGAGGGAGGAAGGGATGGAGGGAGGAAGGGATGGAGGGAGGAAGGGATGGAGGGAGGGAGGGAGGGAGGAAGGAAGGAAGGAAGGAAGGAAGGAAGGAAGGGAGGGAGGAAGGAAGGAAGGGAGGGAGGGAGGGAGGGAAGGACCTAACTCCTGGAGTAAATGCCGTCGTCCCCGTCCCTTGGTCACCCATTTTCGCGCTGGCCGGCTGTCAGGCCTGCGGTGCTGCCTCGGTTCAGAGTCCTCTGACTTCTGTGTTGTCAGACAGGTTTCTCCCACACTCGTGCGGCGAAGGGGACATAAGGGCTTCATCTCTGGGTTTCCCTCGACAGTTCCCTCTTCCAGCCATGACCTTGGGTGGTGCCTGTTTCTTTCCTCCACGTGGGGCGCTGGGGTGAGCCCCAGGGTGGGGAGCCCGGGTGCCGGCTGATGGGGACCCTGAAAGCTCCCGGCAGTTCGCGGTGAAACGTCGCTCTTCTAACAGAATGAGCGACAGAGAATGACGTGAGCTTAACACAGTAGTTTCCCTAGGATGTCAGAAACGGCGCGAAAAACAAAACTCAGAATGACTTAGTGGGTCAGCCAAAACACTCACCGTGTGAGAGCGTAGCGGAATTTGACGTTTAAAAACTTTCTTGGTGGGAGTGGGGAGGTGGGCGGCACCGCCTGGCTCGGTTCTTGACCACAGTGGACTCTGAACAAACGTGCATGAAACAGAGACGGAACGGGCCGGGGTTTGGGAGAGGATTTGTCTGAGCAGGAACTTCGGTTTCCTTCCAGCTGCACCGTCTCTCGGGTTTTGTCTCAGGGCTTTGGAGGAGCCCGTGACGTTCTGGGGGCAAAGTTCCCCTTCTGCCCAAATCCAGGCTTCGTGTCACCACCCCAGACCACACGTGGCTCTCGGTCTCAAACAGCCGCCGCTGGCTCAGCGTTATCTTCAAAGAGGAATGCAGCTCCCTGGGTTCTGCCAGCCGCCTGGTCCACAGCGTCTGCCCGATGCCCACTGGCGGTCTCTCCCCAGCAGGTCGAAGGGCCAGCCCCACCCCGCTCAGGGTGCTGTCCAGGTGGGGGGCATGCACGCCGCTCGGTGGGGAGACGGACCTGGGGTGCAGAGGGTGGGAAGACGAGGCTGCTCCCGGTGCTCTTCCCTTGTGAAACAGTCACCGCATCCGGGCGGACCTTCAGCCCTCGGTGGTCGTGGTTCTCGGGGCGGGGTGGGGGTGGGGTGGGGGGGGAGGAAGGCGTGGGCTCTTCCCTTGTGAAATAGTCACGGCATCCAGGTGGAACTTCAGCCCTTGCTCGCCCTCGGTGGTCGTGGTTCTCGGGGGGGGGGGGGGGGGGGGAGGCGTGGGGGGGGAGGCTGCTCTCTGGGAGTGATTAAACCCTGCAGAGACGCGGAGCCACAGAAGACCCAGCCGGTTTTCAGGACGGTGATTCATAACCCAGACACGAGCTCCCTGCCCTCAGCCCTGGGGGCACTCGTTTGGCACAGAGGGGGCCTCTGCCCTGGGCCCCGGGGCGCAGCGTTGGGGTCTGCGGGTCTGTGCAGCCCCCGGCATGACGCTTGGCGTGTAGCACGTGCTTCACACATGCAGTGACAGGCCACGCGGAGCGGCCAGCAGAGGACCAGCCAGTGGCGTTCTGGGCTGCGCGGGCACCTCCATCGTTCTCAGTGCCGTCCCGCCGGTAGGCGAGCTGTCCCTGCACGCGAGTGGCTTGGGAGGCTGGGGCATGTGCTGGATGTCGATGTCTCTGCTGCCGCTCACGTCCCTTTGGCTGGTCACGTCTTCACAGTTTCCCTTTCAGGGAAACATACCCTGCAGACCGTCCAGGCTTCGTTCGGCCCTGGCAGCCGCTCTCATCCCGCTGTGCTGGGGCTCCCGGGAAACAGTTCCAGTGCAGGGCATACCCCAGGCCACACGTACCCGAGTGTCGGCAGACGGGTCGGCCCGAGCCCTCCGATGGCTGGGGAGTCTGGTTCTGTGTGCGGACGGCACCTGGGTGGTCAGAGCGGGCGGCGTTGAAGGTCGAACCCACAGTGCTGTGGATTCCGGGATTTGGTTGAAGTCAGCACTTTTTCTTTCTGACAGTGGCTTTCACAGGCCAGGAAACTCTGAGTCTTTGCATCTAAAAGTCATTTAGTTTGATTAAAGCCTTATTCTGGCTGTTTGCCAACTTTTGCATGGGACGGGGGTTGGGAGTATTAGTGTCAGCGAAACGCCACGATTTCTTTTTTTGTTTGTTTTTAGATCCTCACCCGAGGATATTTTTCCATCTATTTGCAGACAGAGTGGGAGGGAGAGAGAGAGAAACATCGATGTGAGAGACACATCAATTGGTTGCCTCCTGCACGGCCCCAACTGGGGCCGGGGACTGAACCGCAACCGAGGTACGTGCCCTTGACCGCATTGAACATGCGACCCTTTGGTCCGCAGGCCTGTGCTCTAACTGCTGAGCCAAACCAGCCAGGGCCGAAGAGACTCTTTCAATTAGGATTCTTTCAATTAGGCCTATTTACTGAACATCAAAGCAACCATGAGAAAGAAAGCGACATGGGCTTGGTCACGTGGTGACCCCATCCCCTTTGCTCCCACTGAGAATATATCGACCTCTTTTTCTTACCAGATCCAGAATTTAGACCATCATGATTAGTAGAGTTGCCCTGCCTTAAAGAAAAGCTAACCTTTACTTCTAGATTCATTTTAATCCAGGTTTTCCTGTTCCTGTGTGTGTGTGTGTGTGTGTGTGTGTGTGTGTATGAAAGCTTATTGGTAGGGAAGTTATTGCTTGGAAAGTTATTGCTTTCTGGTGCACCTGGAATGTGGATGTGATGCACAGAGGTGAGCAGCCATCTTGTGAACATGAGGATTCGGAGAAGCAGAAAGTTATATGAATGGTTTGGGTCTCTGATGCTGTCAGGGAGCCACCTACCAGCTCTGCACTGCCTTCCTCAGAACATCTTGTTATAGGAGGAAAATACACTCCTCTTTCTGTTGGTGAGACTTTTTTCTTTTTATTCCTTCAGGTCAAATGCAATTCTGTATGATATAAAACTCTACATCATAAGGTATTTGAAAATACTTGGTAAACTATCCAGTGTTAATACATGCAAGGGACGACTCAACATTTTTACTATAATTTAAGAGTCCCTTTCTAGAGTTGTAGTCGTTCTGAAAGTAAGGACAGGGACGCCTCTCTTCAGTGCCGACTCAGGGGAAGTGCGGAGCATGGTGTAGGATGGGACATAGGGTGGCCAAATAAAATTTAACCTGAGCAGCAAATCACCCTTTGGGCCTGATGTGTTTAGTTTTGTCTGAGACAGAGAAGACCTAGAAAGAAGTCGTTTTCTCTCTCTGAGCACCCTTACCTGAGCGTCTATTTGAGAGGTAACAAAATATGTACAGTTCGGGGTAAGACGAGCCAATGTCCATGCCAGAACAGGCATGTCCTGCATCAGTAAACACAGGATCTGGAACAAGAACGGGACAGACCTACTTTTCCTTTCTGGTCCAGTCACAGCTGAATCCCTGAATGCAGCTCAAGGGTGGGTGGGCAAACGACAACTCATTCAGAGAAAGAAGAGAACAATGAGCACGTCTAGTTTTGGAAACTCAAACCCTAAAATGCTGTTGTTTGGGGCACGACTGCAGGAGGTGAGGATCATTAGACTGAAGAAGAATGAGCCCAGTGAGGGACATGGCAGTTATGTCTAAACACCTGAAGGGCTGCCACGCAGAAGAGGGTAGCACTGGGACTTCTGGGGGGGGGGGCAGGTTTGGATTTGGGTTTGCACACGACGCTAGACTAACAGCCACAGCTGCTGAAGACAGAGTGGCCCACCCCAGTGGCTGGTCCCAGGCAGGTGATGGTTAAGCACGGACTGAACTACCGTTCGCAGGGATGCTGTGCAGGGATCCCAGCACACATTCACGTGCTAGTTCCTTCTCTCGGTGACTTCACCACTGGTGAATTTAAGAATTATGTAGCGCCTACCATGTGTCAGGCTCTTAATGACCAGACTACAGCCTTTAAGATCTCCCCCAACGTGGTGATTCTTTGATGCTCTGAGTAGGATGAGCTCCATCTTGCAACAAGGGAAAAAAAACCACGCCAAGGCAGTAAGACCTGGAGGGGATGCAGAGCCACACCGCAGTTAAAGGGCGGACCCTTTGTTCTTCCCGAGCCTTTGCTGTGTCTACTCTCCTTCCTTTTCCAATCGTTAGTTCTTTTCAGAAAAGAATGAAGTCGTGCTGGGCTCGACCATCTAGTCGCGGATAAGGCTGGGGGCTCAGTTACTCGGTGTTGGTCTCAAGGATGCGTTTTCCTGCCTCTAACCAATCGGAGCACGCCCTCCCTTTGACTGCACTCTTCCAAGTCTCCCCAGATACCCCCGAGCAGAAGGGGGTTATAGGCAAGGACTGTGGTTCACATTTCATGCAGGCAACACATGGCCTTCTGATTGGGGAGCGGCTGCGGGTTCTTCAGATACAGTCACCTCTGCACTGAGATTCCAAAAATAGCTGTGGAAACCACACATTTCCAAGCAAGCCCATTTCTTTCGAAACATCTCGGACTCTCTCTCTCTCTCTCTCTCTCTCTCTCACACACACACACACACACACACACTCACTCCGCCAGTGTACTGCTAATCTTTACATCTTACATGAATGAATCTTTCCTGCCAGGACCTCTTGCCCGGCACAACCTCCACGGGTTTAGGGGTGTCTCATCAGGCAACGAAGGCCAAGGTCACTAGTGCCGCTGGGCATCCCCCCAGCAGGCGGGCCCGTCCAGCTCAGGCCGCCTTGGACGTCGGGACACACCGGGCTTACAAGATGCGACGAGAGCAAATTGGCAGCTGAGTAGGACTGTCTGACGCTGGTCAAAGCATCTGTTGGAAAAGCTGCTTTGTAATTTCCTGCGCCTTTCAGGGTCAGGAGTGGGCAGAAACCCCCAAATGGAAGAAAATCCTAATCACTTTCAAGTGGGAGGAAAATAAGAACCAGATGAGCTCACATGGGTGCAGACTGCGGACTCTGAACTCCCGGGATAAATGTTCCCCAAATGTCCAGCGCGGACATTCCGAGGCGATGCATTTGGCCCAGACTGGACCGTAAGTGGGTGGGGGCGGTGTTCCTGCTCCCCCTCCCCCACACTGCTCTCTAAGGCTGGAGATGAGCTGGAGAACGGAACGGGCCCCTAAAATACATTCCGTGTGTGACCGTCTTTGATCATCTTTATGGATTTTATTGACCGAGGTATTTTCAGCACCTGGAACAGTGCCTGCCACAGAGTGGGTGTTCCAGAAATTCCCTGAATGAATGAATGATTCCACTTGTGTGTCCTCTGCTCTCAAAAGTTCTTGTCACTTAGCTGACTTTGTGTAAATGGTCACTGCAGGAAACGAAGGGAGCAAAGCCGAGGGGCGCTGACCTCCGAACAGAACCGCAGAGGAATACAGTTGGGAAGGCTGGAAGAGCGGGGGAGAGTGAGCCCAGCTGTGTGGAGGTGTCTGCGACATGTCGGTCACGTGCAGACCCTCAGAAAGTGTCTGAGCTGGGAGGCAGGGGAGCCAGATGTTTTTCCCCTGGGTCTTCGGGGTTTACAGCTCAATCTGAACTCCGCGTGCAGTGAAGATGTGGCCCCGGCTTTGCTGAGCGTGAGGGTCTCCCCTCTCTCCCACACTTGCTGCATCTTTTTCTTACCCGACAGTTCTCCCTAAGGCCTAGTTTCGGTCCTGGGGAGTAAGACCAGGCTTTGCGAAAGACCCGTCTTCCAAGCTCGGTCTCGCCTGGTTTACAGCGTCACAGCTTCTATTGGTTGGAATGTGACGCAAACAGGAAGAGGACTCTGAGGGAACTGAAACTGTGATTTTCACACAGTGAGCGGCCTCTACGTAACCAGACACCCTTTCTGACTCTGTGACTAGGCTCTAGAGGCCACTAGGAGAATGGATGCATCCCCTTTGGCAGGTGCCATTCGTCACCTTCTTTAACACTGGGAGTAAGTGACATCTCTATGTTCATGGCCAGAAAGGTTGCATCTACCAGTTAGTAAGTGAGGCTTAAAGATAACTTGTCACCTAAAAAAAATACCCTTTTTTACTTTTATAGCAGAAACGTCGTGTAGATATATTTGCAAAAGGTTTGACTTCTTCAGCCAGAGGGACAGATGGACACGCTAAGATGTCTCGCCTCTGTGCCTTCCCCAGCTGTCTGCGCCCAAACAGGACAGGCTACTCCGTAGATTTAACTCAAGGCGGCTCAATTCGAGCTCCGGGGGCCACAGGCGAGGGTATGATCTGGTCCTCAGACTTGAGACACCTCACTGGCCATGCTGGTCCCTGCCTTAATGGGGTGTGCCTGGGGCTCAGGTGTGGGCTTTGCTGGGCTTAGAGATGCAGCCCCATAGGAGTGGCCCCGCAAGTGGTCAGGAGAGGAAGGAGCTGAAATGGGACCCCCGACTTCACACGGAAGTGCCCAACTCTAAGAGGTAATGGTGATAAGTAGGGCAAAGGTCTGGGGGCCGTTGGCCAGAACCAAGCCAGCCGGTTCTGGAGGAACATGAGCGCTCTCCACCACTCCTTCCAGGAGGCAGACTCTCGGGAAAGATGAGGCTGACCCTCTGGACCCAGGGCAGAGCATGCGGCTGTCCAGCTCACTCCCGTGCACAGCCTTTGGCTTCATTGGAAGCCTGTCCCTTTGGGCCATCACCAGATAATGCCTCGAGACGGAAATGAGAGCTTCTGAGCAGGACTGGTCAGACGTAGCGGCCACTCTGCAGAACTGCTGCTTACAACCTGGAGGCGTCAGCACCGCTCTGCCCGTGGCCCAGGAGCTCCAGCTCCGGGACCCCCTTCACAAAGCTGAAGGATGCCTGCGGGTGCTGTCTGCAGCCCTGGGCTGGCCCTACCTTTGGCGTCGTGCCGCGGTTCTGTTTTGCTGAGAGAAAGGTGTTCCTCGGTGGACTTGTCACCTCCTGTATCCTTTATCCCGTCCTCGGTGGTCGGGGCACCTTCCCCCGTCTGCAGCACCTGACCACGAGGCCAGGCCTGGCCATCAGAATGCTCCTCATGCTTCTTGTTTTCCTTCTTCCTCTCATGGGGAATTCTAGACACAAAACGAGAAAACGAGAAAACACACCATCAGGTGTGATGCTTTGAGTGATTCAGCAGCCCCCTAGGAGTGGCCCCGCAAGAGGTCAGGAGAGGAAGGAGCTGAAATGGGACCCCCAACTTCAAGAACCTGTATTCGATCTGGAAGGAAAATAAAGAGATGCTTTCAGCTTATTTTTGCATATTTGCATATAGTCGTAATGCCAGAAGGGTGGGAATATTTCCCAAGCAGCAGGACCATTGCAGGACAGGTGTTCCACATATCATGCTCCCAGGGATGACACCAAAGAATTACACATATGTGTGCATGCACACACTCGCGTGCGCACGCACACACACACACCAGAAAGAAAACAGTTCTTACAGAAATAAAACCAAGGAAGTCAGGAAACATCTAAGAGCTAGAGTTTCATTTTTTGTGGTGTAGGAGTCATATACTGCAGGTCAAATTGTGTTTTCTGTTTCTTTTTTTCCATTTCTCATCATATCACTGATTTGTTTGTGTTTTGGGGAATATTAAACACAACTCTTCAGTGACTCTTTTTTGGGGGGGGGGTATGTGCCCCTGGAGGGAACTGAACCTGAGACTCTCTGGTCCACAGGACGACGCTCCAACCGCTGAGCCAGACTGGCCAGGGCAATCAGTGACTCTTAAACATCCAAATCACCTCACTTGGCATGACACACCAGGTCCTTCCTGATCGGACCCTGCTCATTCCTCCATCCTCTCTTCCACACCTCCCTCAGCACTGTTTCACCAGCAGAACCACCCGTGCCCTGGGCACGCTGTGGGCTCTGAGGCTTCTGGACTTGGCTTGTGTTTGTCCCTCTGCCTAGAATGTACCCCTTTCCCTTCTTCCCTTCTCGGCGAGCTCCTGGTGAACTCCTGTGTGTCCTTTTATGGTGCTGTCCATGAGACCCCTCAACTCTCACCCTTCGATGTAGACCTGCCCTCCCTCCAGTCTCCATCACCTTTAAAATATCTCCATTCTAGTTAATGACCAGCTGTGCGATAAAGGGTGCATTTTCATGCCTATATCCACTTTTAGAGTTTATGTTCCATGAGGTCACAGACTCGATCTTGTTCACCAGTGTATCTTTAGTATGTAGGACTCTCTGGTTCAATCCATACTGGTTGGATGGATGGATGGATGGATGGATGGATGGATGGATGGATGGACGGACGGATGGAGGGTTGGATGAGGGGGTGGGTGGATGGATGGATGGATGGATGGACGGACGGATAGATGAGTGGGTGGATGAATGGATGTGTGGATTGAACAGATGGATGGATGAAAGGCTGGATGACAAAGTACTAGGTGAAGGTTGAAGGGAACAAAAGACAGTAGATTCAAAATATTAACCATGTGGAGGGGGGAGTCGGGAGTTGGGGGTTATGTTTAATCAGCCCCAGATCCACAGATGACCAGACTCAGGAGCAGATAGTCAAGGGGGTGCTTCTGTAGCCATGAAGGTTGCCTGTGGGGTTCATCAAGACTACTCTGCTCCAGTCAGGGCTCAGAGAGCAGGGCTTTTGTTTGGCTTTGCAGTCAGCCCATCTGCAGAAGCACAAAGTTACAGCATCTTCTGTGGGTTTGTTTTTCGCCTCTGAAAGTCAGAGAAACTTACTCCAAAAACCAGCATCCTAAAGCTGACCGTCAGAAAAGGATAATTAAAGATTTAGAAATAACAGTGTCCCTACTGGGCGCTTTCGGTTAACACCAGTTATGGAACTACCCTCACTGATCAGTTGGACAGAAACCTGAAATTTTCTTCATGCATGCAAATAAAAAATAGTGCATCGTTTTTCTCTTATAAATTTGAACTGGGTTTCTGAATTCTGAAGGCTCTTCACCTCTACGTTTCTCTTGCTCTTCTCAAAAGATCCGTCTTAAGTGGTTTGTGTGCTGGGCAGTTTTTTAGGAATACACAAGTCTCCAGCTTAGAACATCCACTCACAGATCACTGCAACCTCCAACTTTTCTAGCAAGTTGTAACGTCCGAGCGGACAACCCTGAGGCATATTTTGGCACATCAAGTAAATCTACACTCAATAAATGTTATGATACATGTCTCTGGTGCCCTATTCGAGGATCTTAAAGAGCTTCACTTACTTGGGGATGCTTGTGCGTGAAGTCATAGCTAAGCGTTATGCAAATGAGCTTGGGCCCACAGGCTCACCTACGCCCCGCCTTCAGCTGACTGCCTGGGAGTTGGGGGCGACCGGAACCGGAGCACATTCTGCCACATAAAAATCACACTTAGAAAATGTTGGAGAGACGAGAATGCTTTTTAAAGGGCCCCACGTCGAGCAACCAGTGGGGAACTGACCGGGTTTCCACCTGCTTCAAATTAAATATGTTTATTATCTTTGCATGTTGCTCCTCAGCTCCGCATAATCTGTCAGAAAATATCGTCTGTGATTTTAGCTAAAAGCATGTTTTTAGACGTTTAACGGGCTGTTTGCTTTCACAACAAGGCGGTGACATGTCTTCCCTGTCTCCGACTCTGAGGTGTGCTTCTCGGGGGCTCCAGGACGGTGCTTGGGGGTCCTCCTCGTTCGACCCTCATTTTCTGCTCCACTGTCTCAGACTCTGTGCCAGGTGTTAGGAGCAGAGGGAAAACCATGGTCAGTCCATAAATATGTAAGTGAAATAATTGTGGTTATGAAGGGACACAAACAGGGGAGACGGAGTGAGGAAATCTCAAGCACCCCCTTTTGGGCTGGGTGGTCGAAAATGGCTCTTTGGGCAAAATAATTAGGAGCTAAGACCTGAAGGATAAGAACAAGCCATTCAAATAGAAACTGAGAGATGAATATTCCAGGCAGAGGAACAGCACTTACAAGGGCTTTGAGACAGTCAAGGGCTTGTAATATCTCAGGAAGAGGAAACAAGCCAGGGTGGGGGTGAGGAAGAGAGAGAGAGATGAGGCTGGAGAGAGGCCAGAGTGAGGTCAGCGAGGGCCTCATAAGAAATGTTCGGGATTTTACTTTTTATTCTCGAAGCAAGGGGAAGCCAGGAGAAAATGCCATGGTTGGATTTGCATTTTATGAGGATTAGGCTGGCTAATCAATGAAAGACAGATTGGAGCGTGGGGAGGGGGAGCGGGAGACCCGGGGGAGGTGGTTGCATCCACCCAGGTGAGGGGTGAGGGAGGTTGCCCTGGGATGGCTTCACTGGAGATGGAGAGAGGAGGGTGCGATCGAGCGGTTTTGGAGGGAGGCTGGACAAGGCTTGCTGATGCATCGGCTGGAGGGGACAAGGGAAGGAAGCATCGAGGGACCCGCTGGTGTTCTGACCTGAACAGGAGGGTGGATGGCGGTCCCTTACAGGGATGGGGCTCTGGCGGGGAGGAACTGCTGTTATATGGGGAGGTGGGGGATACAGTCCAGGTTTTGAACTTATTAACTAGGGACACCCGCTACGAAGCCCTATGTAGAAACAGAAGTCCCTCGGCGATACGTCTCTTGAAAAGGCTCACTTTTAATTTATTGTTTGAACTTTAGCAGTCATGATAGAAACATTTGGAAGAACATGAGATGGAGCTTGAGACAAGCTGGGAATTAGATGACTCAAGGGCTGGCTGTAAATCTGGTGAATGACATAGCATATGGAAATACGTGGCCATGAATTCCCTCCCTTGCGACGTCTTGTCCCTCCAGCCTTCCTTCCTGCCTTGGAACAGTCACTCCGTGGGCTAGGGGTGCAGGGGGTCTGGGGACTGCGTGTACCGAGAGGGATGTCAGAAACCTCTGGGAAGGGGGACAAGAGTTATAATGCAGAGAGAGAAGGAAGAACATGGGGCCTGCCTGGCGTGCCTAGGGAGTGATACCATCTGCTTACTTAATACTGTCCTTCGGGTTTCAGCAAGTGGAACCCATTTTTTTTTTTTAAAAGCCACTCTAAAAATGACATTTCTCTGTAAATCAGATATGAAGGAAGGAAAAAACGAACAGAGCCGCCTCTTAGCATATCCTCAGCTGAGTCTCTGCCTTCCTGTTCATTTTCAGCAGATGCTGTTGCTTTTTCTACCAGCTGCCTCTTCCGGGCACACCTATCCCTCTCTCGCCTTCGCTTCTCGCTTTCTGTCTGGTGTCCCAGGGGTGTCCAGGGTGCTTTTAGGAAGCATGGTATTGGGGTAGAGCAGCCTGCATTGCAAAATGCATTATCTCGAGATCACCACCGGTGACCGTCCCGTGGTTTCAGGTCTGCGTGCCTCGAATCTCAAGGTTGCACAGGGGAAAGTGAACTACTTTGGATAGAAAGAGCTGAAAGTTTGCAGGTGCAGGGGCCTGAGCTGAGCCCTGAGCTTGGCTGTTTGCTGTGTTGTGGCTCCGGGCTTGGGACTCGCCGTCTCTGCACCTGGTGATTTCATCTGAAGGCGTGGGCCGTGGTCTCGATGTAAACTGCGGGGCTGTCGTTGAGACAGTGACAGCACGCGAAGCTGTCAGCCTGACACCTCCTGGTGCTGGTGTCCACACACTGTCCACCGTGGCATTGCTCTTAAGCCCACCATGTGACGGTTGTCTGGCTGGCAGGAAACACACGCTCCTGTTCGGTACCCCTGTAAGGGCTGGTGACAAGCGTCACGGCCATGGCTGGAGGGGTGCTGGGGTGCTGGGGTCTCTGATACAGTCTAGCAAAGCTCCTGGTGTGGTAACTTCAACTCATCAGTGTTTTAAATGGAACGAAAAATTTAAATTGAACAATTAAATGAGAAACTAGGGCCCTGGCCGGTTTGGCTCAGCGGTTAGAGCGTTGGCCCACGGACCAGAGAGGCCCGGGTTCGGTTCCCGCTAAGGACACGTGGCTTGGTTGCAGTTGCAGTTTGTCCCCGGCCCTGGTTGGGGTTGTGTGAGTGGCAACCAGTCGATGTCTCTCTCTCCCATCAATGTTTCTCTCTCTCTCTTCCCCCCCCCTCCCTCCCGCTCTATCTCAGGATAAATGCAAAAATGTCCTCAGGTGAGAGTAAAGAAAAAAAATTAAAAAACAAATGAATAAATAAACCCGGGGGCCCTTCCGCACGCAGCGGGTGACGAGCCTGTCTTGCAGCCCTGCATCCCGGGTGGCCGCCATCAGCTGTGACTCCAGTGCAGGTCCCGGGCTGAAGATGGCACTTTGAATCCACACAAGGTGCCCATGCGGCTTCGTGAAAAGAGAAAGCATCTTCTAAATTCCGAGAGGTTTCCTTTAACACAGAAGGAGCCAGGCTCGATCCAGCAGGACCAAAGCCAGCGTGCCCAGCGTGCCCAGCAGGCGGAGATGACTTCCGGGAGGTCCCTACCAGGCAGGAAGAGGAAGTAGAGAGCGTTGCCACGGGCGACGGGAGGGGGCCTCTGGGAGGAGAGAGCCAGCGTGAGCATCTCAGCTGGGTCGCTGAGAAGTGGCTGCCCTCCCCCCGGCTTCCCCTTCCACCACCCCACCAGGCGCAAGCCGACTGGGGCAGGGTGATGAGGCATCGGGAGCCCTCGCAGGAAGCCAGAATGTTGGGGGGGAGTCATCTCGGCTCCCCCTCTGCGTCTGTTTGGAGGTGGTGGAGCAGCCAGGGTCGTGGGGTTCGCATGGCCTGGAGTTCCCGTCCGCCCTGGTCAGAGGACCCCCAGGTGTTGAGATGGCAGTGTCCTGGCATAGGCCCGTGGCCAGGGCAAGGAAGGACAGTGCCACCAAGCGTAGGGGCCTGATGACTTGAGGGACCTTAGGTTTCGGCAGAGATGCCAGCAGGATGCTCACGAAGGACAGTGAGACCAGCCACACCTAAGTAAACACCAGCCCAGGACATGCAAGGACAAGACCCGTGTGCAGCTAGGGACCCCGAGGACCCCTGCCACAGGGGATGTCAGCTTCCTCGGCTCCCAGATGCCACGTTGGGAAGGAGGAGGGGACCAAGTGACCCTGGAGAGAGGGAAGAAACAGCCTTTGAATGGACTGGGTGAGTGAACCTCAAAGTGAGATGTTTCCAACGGGGACAGTAAGTGACCCTCAACCGGCCAGGTTTACGTTTCTCTGCCAGCAGGAGGAAGGGGGCTCCACGAGGAAGTGCGGAAGAGCTTCATTTCCCAGCACCTCCGAGCGGTCTATGTACATTCTGACGCCCTCTCCTGACTTCTTCGCAAGGTCGACTCTTGACACTGGACTTGACGTTTGAGCCACTGAGTCAGATTAGGGGTGATGAGTGAATTTCATCTCATACGGTGACTACTTTTACTTGTGAATTTATTTTTAATATAGTAACATGAAAGGAAATTAATATGGAAAGAGAAATATCCATATCCTCTCTACCCTGTGGCAAGGACGTGTATATATATTTTTTTCCTTAATGGTTTTCTTGTCCCGGTGATTAAAATACTGGCTGACAGATTGGCCCAAGCCTCTGCCTCAAAGAGACTGTGCTACTGGCAGCTTGTCCTGGGTCACGTAAAGGAAAAGAGGTGAGCTGATTACCTGACATTGTCACATGGCATCAAGGTTTTGACTTGGGAGACCTTCCAATTAGTGACATGGGACATTCTTGGATGGTGTTCAGCTTGCCCGGTGTTGACAGGATCTCACTCCTTCCTACTTCTTAGCCTTTATACGCACTCCCAGGAGTCATGGGCACACCTCTGCATCCCTTCCCTGGTACCCTAGACTCTGGGCTCTCGACTTCTTTGGAATGTTGACATTGTGATGCTCCTGGGAGAATGTTGCAGATGGAATTCCTAGGTCCTTCCAGCTGAAGTCCCAGAGAAGGGATTTTCCCTTTGCTTACCTCTGCCTTGGTTTTCCCCCTTTGTGTTCTAACGCGCAAGAAAGTGTTTTACTTGGACTGGGCCGTGGGCCGTGACGCCAAACACATCCCCCTGCTCACCGTGCATTGCCCCGACGGGAAAGCAGGTGCCACTCTAAGCAGCGGCTTGATCCATTTACTCAGAGCTCTGAAGAGACGCATCATACCCGCCCGCGTCCCTGAGTTGCGAGATGCCCAGTTCAACAAGACCGCCTCCCGGGGTAAGCTTAGGGGTGCTATTACGGGTAACCGACTGCAGAACCTACTGCGGAAAGTGAACGCAGCTGGCATTCAGAGATGCCATTCAGTCGCCCCTCCAAATACCGCCAGGGCCGCTCCCTCGGCAGCCCACGGTGTGCAGGGCTTTGCGGAAGAGCCTTGGGTGGCGATGGCCTTGGGGCCGCGGGACACGCACCCGGCGCTGCTGGTGATGCACCTGTGGGCTTTTCAGCCGTGAAGACGGTCACTTCTCAGATGAGTCCTGGGGAATAACATGGAGGAAACACCGAATGAAATCCAGACACAAAATCTACGGACAAATCGGCGAAACAAGTAATTAAGATTTATTTATAGTTTTTTTTCCCCACTGAAAACCAGGCATTTTTCTGTTGTTGTTTCTGATGTCCACAGTATTAGCCTAACTGGCATCACCAAATGTTAAATCACCCGACTAATAATATGGGGAAAGTCAGATCGTGATATACCAGCTTGACATTATTTCTAATTTCTATCATGGTTTCCCTTTGACTTAGTAATGATTTAGAACCATTTTTAGTTTCCAAATACACAAAAGTATTTTGGGCTATTTTTAGGGGGGCAAAATTGGGTGCTCATTTGATTGTATTGGGGACCAAAGAATACTATAGTCCGTATGTTTTATAAATTCTGATATTTACTGAGATGTTCTTTATGCGCTCAATTTTTGAAATGTTTCCTGAAAACTTGAAAAGAATGCAGATTATTTAAGAGTTGAGATTAAATTCTAAATACGTGGATTTTATTAAGTTTCTTAATCATGCTGTTCAAATATTCAGCATAATTATTCATTATTTGGTCACTTGATCAGTTTGTAACCTATGCATGTTTAAGTAACACTTTAAGACATTTGATTTTTCATAATTCTATTGACTTTTACTTTAAATGAAGTTACTGCTTTTGTAGGTCAATCAAATATTGACAGTATTATATGGTTCAACCTAATATTTTGAGGCTATGTTGCTGGTATTTGTTGCCTCTAGTTTCTGGTATATTGTGTGATAACCTTTCTTGCCCTAAACATTTGCCCCTTTAAAGTCTATTCTATTTGACATTTATATGATTAGAACATCTTTAATCACTATTTATTTTGATCACTATTTTTCTAATATAAGCTATGTATCTTTATTCTGCCTAAGATCTATTGGGACTAATGTCTGGCATATTATTTTTTCCATTTACTATACTTTTCTTTGCCAGCCCCCTGCCTTATTCCTGATTTTTTTCCAGTGAAGTAAATCTTACTTAATTTACTTATTACATCCCTCTACACTTTGGGGAGTTAAATATTCTACTTCCATGATAGTCTTACCAAGAGACTCAACTTTGATGAATTCATTTCTTTTCCAGGTACGTTCTAGTTAGAAATACCCAACACATGGACAAACCCACTGGTTCCTCAGAGCCCACGATGCTGTTTGTTTGGTCACTTAGCCCAAACACAGATACAGGTGGGGAAAAGAACATGAAATGTATAGTGGAGAACCAAGAGAGGCATTTGGATAATTTACCATACCCAGTTCTCATGGTTGTACATTCTTTGCCTTATTTAGATCACGGTTCTCAAACTAGGTGCATCAGGTCACCAGGAGGGCTTGTTGCATCTAGACCTTGGGCCACCCCACCCTGGTTCTGGGATGTACCTGAGAATCTGCATTTCTAAAAGGTTCCTAGGTGATTTTAATGCTAGAAACCAAAATTGCACTATGAAGAGGTGATTCCCTCTGAGTCAGACTGGATGATATTTGAGGTCATTTAACATATACAGTGATACCTCGGTTCTCGAACATAATTCGTTCCAGGAGGACGGTCGAGAACCGAATTGTTCGAGAACCGAAGCAATGAAACCCAATAGGAAAGCGTGACTCCACAAAGCGTGACTCTCTCTCTGCACTCACACTGATGACGCGAGCAAGGCGCGCTGGGCCGAATGAACGCCATTCGGCTCAACTTGGCTCATCTCGGAAGTTCCAGTTCCAAATATTTGTTCGGATTCCGAGACAAAAGTTTCTCGAATCTCCTGGTCGAATACCGATTTGGTCGAAAACCGAGGCGTTCGAGAACCGAGGTATCACTGTATAAAATACGGAGAAGGAAGACTTCAGTTAATGATAGAATTAGACCTCAAATTTTGGTTTCTTGGTTCCAAATTCACCATTCCAGCTGGGGAGGCCACCCTTGGGGGTCCCCCGCCCCTCTGCCTGCAGTTCACTCTTGTGCCTTGAGGCCATGGTTATCTTGAACCATGTCTTACCATATGCCTTCCTGCCCCAAGACAGTCCCTCAGAGGAGAGAGGCTGAGTCTGAGCTCCACCAGACGGCCTCCTTGGGGACGGATGGGCAGAAGAATGCTAGAGGGACAGTCGCTTTTCTCTAGGACGTTGAAACTAGAAGAGACTGAAGAAGGACCCCAAGAAGAGGTTTTAGGAGCAGTTATTGCTCCACGAGAGAAGCAGCTGAGATGGTATCTGTTTGGGTTCGTGTATTCATTCTGGCAGGGCGGTCGGTACCCTCTGCCCGGGGACTGGTCTTCCTGTCCCAGGATGGAAGTGGATTCCAACGTCAACGGAAAGTGTTCAAGTGAGATACAGTACAACGTCATTCAATTCCCTAACTCAGAGGTGTGAGTACGCATGGAGGGAGGCTGATGCCGACCTTCGTATTCTTTATTTATGAAGGGAGAGAGAGAGAGAGAGAGAGAGTGTGTGTGTGTGTGTGTGTGTGTGAAAGACACAGAGAAAGACTTAAACTCAAAGAGTCCATTTTCCTGCTACTTAAAAACATCTGTTTGTATGAGATGATCAATATTGCCGTTAACTATTATTACTTCTTGCTCATGAAAACAAGTCCCCGGATGACTACTACTGGAAAACAACTATGAACCCTCATTGAAATTACTTCACATATGTAAGGAAAAGCACCATAACAAATTTCTTGAAAAAGCAATAATTCATAGACTTCATCACATGCTCCAGTGACGTCACTCATGCAGCAACAACTTGCCAACTTGCCAACTTGCCCTGAGCCTGTGCCACCCAGTCCAGAGCAGGGAAGTTTCGTCATGGAATGGAACAAGTAAGACGCACTGCTTTTCTTGACTTTCTTTTTCTAAAGTCACTTGATGATTTTACTGATTTAGGAGGGCAAACACGAGGACAGACACATAGATGAGATGGTGATTCTGTCACCAAAGACAAAATGCCCCTTCACGTTAAAGTCTAATAGACCTGAACTAGAAACGAATCACCTATGATGATCTTCATAAACCCTACTGATAAACATGGAAGAAAAATACGAAGACATGAATGTGTTTATTTGACTTAGGGAAGGCCTACCGGGGGCCCCATTTGGTGGCACATTATTTTGCATATATAATCTCTAACATGGTTTTCAAGAGGACAGAGTTCAAATGAAATAGTGGGGATTTTGGTCAGATCTTCCAAAGAGGTAAAGAATGTCATTCATAAAACGGGGACATCCTTGCCCTGGATGGGTGGCTCAGTTGGTTGGAGCATCATCCTGTACACCAGAGGGTTGCAGGTTTGATTCCCAGCCAGGGCAAATGAGGTTGTGGATTTGATCCCTGGTAGGGGTGTATATGCGAGGCAACTGACCAATGCTTCTCTCTCACATTGCTGTTTCTCTCTCTCTCCCCCACCCCTTCGTCTCTCTAAACATATCCTTGGGTGTGGATTTAAAAAAACTAGGATGTTCTTAGTATGATGGGGCAACTGAGCCCCAAAGAAGTAAAAAAATATGGAGAAGAATAAAAGCATCTGGGGGCTTTGGTCAATATCTTAACACTGAAAAGATTTGGGAAGATTTTCTTCAGACTGATTCCATGTAGAAGTGACGAATGGGAAGTGATCTTTTTTTTTTTTTTATCCTCACCCGAGGACATTTTTTGTTCAGATAGAGTGGGAGGGAGAGAGAGGAAGAGAGAAAGAGGGAAACATCGATGTGAAAGGGACACATCGAGTGGCTGCCACCCACACGACCAACCAGGGCCAGGGACAAACTGCAACCGAGGTACGTGCCCTTAGTGGGAACCGAACCCTGGTCTCTCGGGACCGCAGGCCGACGCTCTAACCGCTGAGCCAAACCGGCCAGGGCGAATGGGAAGTGATCTTAATGAACATCTGCTGTGGGGTTGTCATGGTATAGATGACACACTAACGCACATGCACACACACATACACACATATGTCAACTGCATGCATATATATTAGATCACACACAATATGTAAATATATATTTATAATTAATATTTGACATACTGTATTACAATAATTTAAAATGTCATCTTTGAAATAAACCTGTGATGTAAGTGTTACTTGTCCGTTTCAGTGAGGAGGGGCCGAAGGTCACCCGGTGTACGATCGTACGTGAGAAGAATGATGTGCTGACATCTATCAAAGTGCAGCTATTTTTTGTGCTCTATGTTGATGTCAGGGAATAAATCAATTGAAACTTTAAAAAGCAAAT